AGCGTTAGAGAACTAAGCTCAAGTCATCTAAGGTGGCCCAACTAGTCTACACTCAAAATAAGACCTCCACCACTTCTTTGTTGACCCATCCCTCTCAAAAATGGTGTAATAGTAAGACTCCACCAAGTTGAGGTTATACAACCTCTCCTACAAACTAACTATAAAGTTGTGAGCATCCTAACCCACAACACTTGTGAACTTGAGATGACCCAACCTGATCAACTCTCCTAACATCTTCTACTATTCAGAACACATAATTAGCATATGCACCATATGTGGAGCAGCTATTGGGACCGGCTAAACCACTAAGCATGAAGCTATGGAAGCAGATTGCACCCCTTGAATCTGAACACCATATGCAACTTCCTAGGCTGAAGTCCGATGAATTGAAGATTTTAGAAACTTTTGAGGCTTATAGTTCACCAAATTGTGTTCTCAATGTATATTTATATCCATTTCTGATGTTAATTGTGTTTAATTGCAACTATTAAATCACAAGGATAAACCCAGGACAAATTGAAGAAAAAAGAAGTGAAAACTTGGAATAGCAAAGAGAATAACAAAGCTGAAACTCACCAAACTCACAAGGAGACTCGCCAAACAAGATTATGCTCACTAAAAATAATTGAGACTTCTGTTTAATAGCTTAAAACGACTTGGTGAGCCAAAGTGGTGAATGGCGACTTGCCAAACCAGTCAGCGAGCTTAAATGTCATCACAAAAAGGATAGAAACTTCTGCTAAAAAGGTAAGCGAGCTTGAATTTCATAACCAAAAATATTGGAGAATTCTGCTAAAAATTAAAGCCAACTTGGTGAGTGAAATTAATAATGACGACTCACCAATCTTGATTGGCGGACCCCATCGTGCTCACCAAAGGTGTAGCTTTTGGTGACTTGTTGAGTCAGTGAGCAAGCCTGACTAGCATCACCGAAGTGATTCTAAAGTGCACTATTTTCAAAATATTGGGAAGGTATAAATGGTTTTGAAAAGAGGGAAATATACTTTATCACTATTCCGAAGATGAAATACTAACAACACTCTAAAATATTTTGGGGATTTTATCTAGCTAGGACTTAGAAAAATTGGGGTTTTGATTTGGGCTATTTTGTAATTGACAATTAAAGCACATCAAGCTTGAAAGGACCACTGTTATTTTGGTAAAAAAATTCATTTCTAGCATATAATTGAGTCCTAGATAGTTTGTGGATCTTTGTAATTGCTCAATTGATTGTTGGTTTGAATTAGGTTCAATTATTTCATCATGTTTTTATTCATGATTTGAGCTTTTGAAATTTAATCTAGCTTAAAATCTCTATGGTTGCTTGTGAATGATTCTTAGAGTGGATGATATAGTTTATAAAGTTCATATGTTAGTTTCTCTTGAAAGAAAAGGCTAAATTAATGTATTAGATAAGTTTTGTATGTTATACATATTTAAGTTTAACAAAACTCGCATGAGAAGCGAAAGGAGGTTGATAAATGTGTGTCATACTTGCTAATCTAGCATATTTAAGGTCTGGATGTTGTTACTCGTAGTGGAAAGGTAGCGATAAATGATGTGACGGGAAATGAAGAAGCTCAAATACATGAAGAAGACAAAGGTATGGAGGAAGAAGAAATACCCATCCATCAAAGCATTGACAAAGGGCCACAAAAAGATGAGTAGAAACACAGTCCAATCCCAAAAAGTGTGCAACCTTTACCCAAAATATCCCCTCCATTTCCCCAACGCCTCAAGAAGAAGAATGAGGATGAGAAGTTCAAAAAGTTTTTATCGATGTTCAAGACATTATCGATTAATCTCCCGCTAGTGGAGGCATTGTTGGAGATGTCGGGTTATGCCAAGTTTATGAAGGAGTTAGTCACAAAAAAAGGAGCTTGGATTTTTGAAACAATCAAAGTTTCTCATAGTTGTAGTGCAATTATGACTAAGGAGCTGATCAAAATGAAAGAAGATCCTGGAGCGTTCACCATCCCTTGCACCATCGGCATGCTCCAATTTGCTAAAGCCTTATGCAATTTGGGAGCAAGCATCAACCTAATGCCATTTGCAATCTATAAACAACTTGGATTGGGTGAACCGAAAGCCACAACAATGAGACTTTTGATGGTAGACCGATCAATTAAACATCATGTGGGGATACTATATGACATCTTGGTAAAGGGTGACCGATTCATTTTCCCGACTGATTTTTTCATTCTCAATTGTGAAATAGATGCTGAAATTCCCATCATTTTTGGATGACCATTCTTGGCAATCGGGAGAGCATTGGTGGATGTTGAAAGTGGAGAACTAAAGTTTTGGGTGTACGAAGATGAAGTAACCTTTAATGTTTGTAAGTCAATGAAACACCCAAGCAACATTCACGTGGTTTCTACTGTTGATGTTATTGATGAGGCAGTGGCTAGTGTGAGCCATTTAATGTGTATAAGTGAACCACTTGAGGTCGTGCTTGCTAACTATGATGCATTCGAAATTCAAGGCTACAAAGAGGTAGTAGCTGCTCTTTTTGGAATGGGGGAATATTCAAAGACTCCATTGAAGCCATCAACAGAAGAACCAGCAAATCTGGAGTAGAAAGTACCTCCTTCCCATCTCTCATATGCTTTCTTGCGGGCAAATGACACCTTACCGGTGATCATTACAGCTTACTTACTTGAATGGCAGGTAAAATTGCTCCTTGAGGTATTGAAAAGGTATATTAAGGCTATAGGTTGGACTATCGCTGACATAGTGGGCATTCCTCTCGGCATTTGCACTCACAAAATTTAGCGTGATAGTGATTGTAAACTGAGTGTTGAAATCAGCAGAGATTGAACCCACCGATGCAAGAGGTGGTGAAAAGGGACATAATAAAGTTGTTGGATGCAGGTGTGATCTACCCTATTGCGAATAGAAAATGGGTAAGTTCGGTGCAATGTGTACCAAAAAAATGAGGCATCACAGTAGTCCCAAATGAAAAGAGGGAGCTTGTATTTATGAGACCAGTGACTGGATGGCGAGTCTACATGGATTACCAGAAGTGGAACTCGTGGACCGACAAAGATCACTTCCCCATGCGTTTCATGGATCAAAAGCTTGATCAACTTTCAGAGAGAGGTTGGTATTGCTTTTTGGATGGATACTCCAGTTATAACCAAATCTCCATTGCTCCGAAAGACCAAGAGAAAACCACATTCACCTGCCCATATGGAAATTTTGCCTTCAAACGGATTTCATTCGGGTTATGTAATGCTTCGGCAACATTTCAACATTGCATGCTATCTATTTTAACTGATATGGTGGAGGATACAATGGAAGTCTTCATGAATGACTTCTAGGTTGTGGGTGACACTTTTGAAGCATGTTTGGCACACTTGGGACAAGTTCTCCAAAGATTTGTGGAGATAAATTTGGTACTAAATTGGGAAAAATGCCACTTCATGGTTAGAGAAGGTATAGTTCTTGGTCACAAAGTATCGCAAAAAGGGTTGGAGGTTGATAAAGCAACGATTGAAGTGATTGAGAAGTTACCACTACCAATTTTGGCGAAGGGTATTCGTAGTATCTTGGGACATGTCGGTTTTTACTGGAGGTTCATCAAAGACTTCTAAAAAATTACACATCCTCTATGCAAACTCTTTGAAAAGGAGGTGAAATTCAACTTTGATGATGCTTGCATGGTGGCCTTCAGGTGCTTGAAACAAAAATTGATCTCCACTACGGTTATCATTAGCCCCGATTGGTCAGAACCCTTCGAAGGGATGTTTGATGCAAGCGGCACGGCATTGGGTGTCGTGTTGGGGAAAAAACTCAATAAACTATTTCACCCCATTTACTACGCAAGCAAAACTCTAAATGCTGCTCAGTGTAACTATACAGTCATAGAACAAGAATTACCTGCAATACTATATTCATTTGAGAAGTTCCGAGCATACTTGCTAGGCACCAAAGTGGTTGTTCACACTGATCATGCTGCACTGTGTTATGTGATGGCAAAAAAGGATGCCAAGTCAAGATTGATAAGCTGGGTGCTACTGCTGCAAGAATTTGACTTTGAAGTCAAAGATAGGAGAGGTTGTGAAAATCAGGTTGTTGACCATTTTTCAAGATTGGAAGGCAAGGAAATGATGAGTTGGAGATTGACATAAATGATGCATTTCCTGATGAACATGTATTCACGGTAACTCTCTAACAATCTCCTTGGTATGCTGATTTTGCTAACTATGTAGTGTGTAGATTGATGCCGGAAGAACTGAATTTCTACCAACAAAAGAGGTTCTTGTTCGATCTTACGAAGTACTTTTGGGATGAACCATATTTATTCAGAGAGTTTACAGAACATATCATTAGGAGATGTGTTCCGAAGGAAGAATCCATCGAAATTCTTCATGCTTGTCATGCTTCACCGGTTGAGGGCCATCATGGTGGTGTACGTACAGCTGCTAAAGTCCTTCAAAGTTGTTACTACTGGCCATCCCTCTACAAAAATGCTCTTGAGTTTATTAACAAGTTCACTCAATGTCAGAAACAAGGTGGAGTGTCTAAAAGACAGGAATTGCCTCTCACGCCCATTTTAGAAGTTGAGCTATTTGATGTTTGGGGGATAGATTTCATGGGCCCACTTGTGAGTTCGTTTGGTAATAAGTATATTTTGGTGGCAGTAGATTATGTTTCTAAATGGTTGGAAGTTGTAGCACTTCTGAACCATGAAGGGAAAAGTGTTGTTCAATTCCTAAAACGCTATATCTTTGGTAGATTTGGTACTCCTCGAGCTATTATTAGTGATGGGAATCCCATTTTTGCAACAAGTATTTTGCATCCGCATTGAGCAAGTATGGAGTAAAACATAAAGTAGCAACTCTGTATCATCCCCAAACGAGTGGCCAAGTTGAAGTGTCGAATCGTGAGATCAAAAGTATCCAAGCCAAGACGGTGAATGCAAATAGGACTGATTGGTCTTGAAATCTTGATGATGCTCTATGAGCGTATCCCACTGCATACAAACACCAATTGGTATGTCTCCATATCAGCTAGTCTTCAGAAAATCATGCCATTTTCCAGTTGAATTAGAACACAAAGCATTATGGGCATTGAAAGCTCTAAATCTGGACTGGGTAAAGACTTCAAAAGAGAAAGTGGACCAGCTAAATGAGTTGGATGAATTCAGGTTCAGGGCGTATGAAAGTTTAGCTCTTTACACGGAAAAGATGAAGAAGTGGCATGATTATAGAATCCTTAAGAAGGAGTTCAGAGTAGGAGATTGGGTGTTACTATATAATTCTCGACTCAGACTCTTTTCAGGAAAGCTCAAATCCAAATGGTCAGGTCCATTTAGAGTAACACGGGTGTTCACAAATGGTGCCATTGAAGTCGAATGTACAGAGGGACCTGCATTCAGAGTGAATGGGCAACGCTTGAAGTTGTATTTTGGAGAATGCCAAGGGATTTCCTTGAATGAAGTAGTGTATCTGGAAGATGCTTGGGAAAATTTCCACGTCGTGCCACGACATTAAATAAGACGTTTCTTGGGAGGCAACCCAAGTGTTAGTATTTCAAATAATGTGCGCTGATTTTACAGGTGGAAGAAATTGTGCGAGGTGAAGACACCATTGGCGGATTGCCGAATCTGTTCGGTTATCCTGATCTCGTCTGCCTTCTGGACTTTGAAAATAGAACTAGGATATTAGAATATTAGGCAGGGAAACTTCATCACTGGGTGACTCGTCGAAGTGATTGGGCGACCCAAATTTCTCCGCCCTTTTTTCCCCTACTCTGATGGCATGACCCAATGGATTATTTGGCAAGGCTGCGAGTCCATTAGGCGATGCGCCAACCGGTTCGGCGAACTACTTCAATTCCTCCTTTTCGCTTCTTCCTGAACGTGTTTCATACTAGAAATATCAGTGATATTCATATCATTGGGTGAATCACAAAGTTGTTCGACGACTGTTACAATTTTTTACTAAATGGGCACCTAGTGAAGATTCCTTTTCACCTTGCTTTGCGTGTTTACAGATCAGTAGTTTATCTTTTTTTTTATTATTTTGGTATTATCTATTCTCTACTCACATTGGGGACAATGTTGAATGCGTTTGGTGGGGATGTGTGTTTGGTCATTTGGTCAGTGAGTCCCTTGCTCATTCGAAAAAGTTATTTACTTGAGTATCAGTTATGATCAATACTAATGACTTGAATAGTGCTCTTTATCAAACAAAAATAAATGTGCGGCTACGATGAGGCCAAATGAAGTTGCATAGACAATGTGTGAACTTTGTGCATCTCGTTGTAACTAGCCGATCATCGATTGAGTCTCTCGTGATGAACATTGCACACTCGCAAAAGTGTGTAGTCTTGTTTGATATTAGTGACAATGCCTTGTGTGATGATCTTACCGTGAACCTTGTGTGATGACACCTAGAATTTACCCCGTTGGTCCGGTTGACTAAGTGATGCAAGCTCTTGAAATGATCTTAGGCAACAATTTTGAAGAGTGAAACAATTTGACAATATACCTCTTTTGTGGACAACCTTGTGAGTGTGTGAACCTTGCTTGAACTCCCTTTTTGAACCTTATCCTTTTCTTGGAAGAAACTTGATGCAATTGTAACCCCTCTTTATCAATTCACCCATAATCCTCATGAGGTGTGGTTTGTATAAATAACCAACTTAGACCAAAAGCCTAAGTTGGGGGTGTGGTGAAAGGAGAAGGTAAATCAAGAAGTGCAAAGAAGTCCCCCTTTAATAACCCCTTCATACAGAAAACAAAGAGAGAAAAGGATAATTAAAAAGAAAAAGAATGAAAAATTTGTGGATTAAAATTGGAAAGTTGCAAAAGAAATAAGGTGTCCGGTATTCCATGAAAAGTGAATAATGGGGTGAATTTTGAGCATGAATGAGAATGTTGAAGAAAAGGAAAGAAAGTGGCTTTCATACCACATTTCATGAGGATAGCATCCACTGAGCCTAAATGACCATACCTTTGCACTCAACCTCGTTACAATCCTTGAAAAGACCTTTTTGATCGTGAGTGAGCTGAAGCGAATGTTGATTGGAAAATAACGGCAAACCTATGGGTGAAGTCATCCATGTGTTCATCTTTTTGAGTGTGAGAGTTGTATGTGATTCCAGAACTATAAAGTGTTGAACCATTGTGTGTGAATATGGAATCATCTTTCTGTGAGGGCATTTGAGTACCTTTGTTGAGCTTGAACTTGCATTTGAAGTAAGTATTGTGAACTTGAGCCTCTTTGATAATGGTGAGTCACAACTTGAATTTTTAAGTGCACAATTGATCCTTGCATGAGTAAATTGAGTCTTGTTGTGTGCATTCATGATTGAGTTTTTTGTAGCACTGTTTGAAATATCCTTTTTGAACTGATGAACTTGAGTTTTACTTGAGGGAAAGAAAAAGTTTAAGTTGGGGGTGTTGATGATTCCGAGATTTGGACTCATTTAGGGCTTTGTTTGCATATAATTAGTGTCCTCAAATGGTTAATTTATGACAATAACTGATGTAAAACACTTGATTTTCAGGTATATGGGTTGAGGAACGAAGCTAGGACAGAAATGGTCAACAAGGACAACACAAGCTGAAAAAGAGAAGAGGAAATACAAGCCAGATAATCACCGAGATCACTCGGCGAATCGCCAAGTTGCTCCTTTATCTCCTAAATTTATAGAACTCTGAGATTGGATTAGGAGTAACTTCGGTGAGCATCAGTTCCATTCGGCATGTCGCCGATCATATCTGCGAAGGATGACCTCGTCGCCAAAAGTATTGATGGAGATCCAGATAAGTGTTGCTGGGTGACTTAAAAGGCAAGAAGGTGCATCACGGAATGAAATGGAGATTCCGATCTGGCTCCCCTAAAATTACAATTGTTGGACTAAGAAGATGTGAAGAATGAAGGCGAGACAAAGATCGATCGGAGAGTCACCGAACAGTCGGCGAAGCCCTACTATCCTCGCCGATTGGTTCCAAAAAGCCACACATCAGACTTAGATAAATTGATTTTTGCAAGACAGAGAAAACATTCAGAAATTGTGAGGAACAAAAGATAGAGAGCAAAAACATTACTATTGTTGATTTCAAGTGATTTTAGAAAGGTTTTTCATTTGGGTTTTGTAATAGAGAAGATATTATTCAATTTTGACTTTTGAATTTCATTTACGTAGCTATGGAAAATGTGGCAGGTATTGAATTTCATCTTTTTGCTATGATTGGCTAAAACCCTAACCTTGGGGGTTTGACAATGTGGCCAAATGTTGCATTTGACTAAATGGGTGTCATCAATTAGTAAATTTTGGTGTTAATTTGAAGTTGGTCTATATCTTTACTGTGGTTTAACTTCATTATTGCATGTTTAGTGTAATATAGTTTAGAGTTTTATGTTTGCTCGAGAGAGAAGTATAGAACCAATGTAGTAATTTGGCATCCTTAGTAGTGGGTCATGATGGTTTCAGCTTGTGAAAGTGAAACTTGAAATTGAGCCTTTGTAACTAGCTCAAAGGAGTAGATTTTATGAGAAAGTGGGTTGGGCGTCTTATGAATAGTGTTGAAGTTCGAGAGAATTCAACGAAAATAAGGTAATTATTCGAGAGAAAATTGCTTTACTTATAGTCCATTCTACCCACAACAAATTATCATTATTGGTAATGGTGTACACCTATTAAGTTAAATTCGACAATTGGTTAGTCATTTCCCCATGTGTTATCTAGTTATTTGATTGTTCCCTGTTGATTATTGAAGTTGGTTGGTAACGACATCTTGGAGTTTGACTTATAAAACTGTTTAGTGTGGTGTTTGTTCGGCTGCAAAGGTCACGGTCATATTTTCATATTCGAATTCAAAGAAAGCTATTCTCTATGGGATCGACCCCAACTCATTCAGTTGGGTTTATACTGATTTACGATCATCAATACTTAGAATTGGATTTGTCTTTATGGATGATTTTTCAGTTGTGGGTGACACATTTGAAGCATGTCTTGAACACCTTGGAAAAGTATTGCAAACATGTGTCGAAAAAAATCTTGTTCTAAATTGGGAGAAATGTCATTTCATGGTCAACGAAGGTATTGTTTTGGGGCATAAAATTTAAGGAGAAGGAATACAATTGAATCAATCTAAAGTTGAAGTTATTGCTAAACTACCTCCTCCCATTTTGGTGAAAGGCGTTCGGAGCTTTCTAGGACATGCAGGCTTCTACCGGTGGTTTATAAAGGATTTCGCTAGAGTAGCTTATCTCTTTTGTAAGCTTCTTTGAAAGGAATCTACTTTTCATTTTGATGAAGCTTGCCTCAAAGCATTATTATGCTTAGAAGAAAAGCTAGTGTCGGCTCTGATCATTGTTGCACCTGATTGGAGCATTCCATTTGAACTAATGTGTGATGCAAGTGGTACGGCTTTAGGAGTTGTTCTTGGCCAACGAAAGGATAAGTTGTTTCACCTAGTTTATTATGCAAGCAAGACTTTGAATGTAGCTCAAAAGATTACACAGTCACCAAACAAGAATTTCTAACTGTAGTGTACGCTTTTGAAAAGTTTAGAGTGTAATTTTTGGTCACTAAAGTAGTGGTACACACGGATCATGCTACAATCCAATATTTGGTGGCTAAGAAAGATGCAAAGTCAAGGTTGATTCGGTGGGTGTTGTTGTTACAAGAGTTTGATTTCAAAGTCAAAGATCGAAAAGGGTGTGAGAACCAAGTGGAGGATCACTTGTCAAGGCTAGAAACCAATGTTGTTTCCAGTGAGAGGGATATTGAGGAAGCGTTTCCCGATGATTCAGTAATGGTTTTATCTCATGGAAATCCACCTTGGTATGATGATTTTGCAAATTAAGTTGTGTGTGGGATTCTTCCCGATGGATTGAATTTCTACCAACAGAAGAGGTTCATGTTCGATGTGAAGAAGTATTTTTGGGATGAACCGTACCTATTTCGGGAATTCACAGATCACATAATTAGAAAGTGTGTATCGGAAGTGGAGGTAAATGCAATTCTCGATGCTTGCCACGTGTCACCTGTTGTTGGTGGGCATCATAGTGGGGTGTGCACTGCTGCCAAAGTACTTCAAAGTGGTTATTACTGGTCGACTTTATACCAAGATGAACACTCTCTTGTTAAACAATGCATTCAATGCCAAAAGAAAGGAGGAATGTCAAGAAAGCATGAATTACCTCTCCGTTCGATTCTAGATGTAGAATTGTTGGATGTCTAGGGAATCGTCTTCATGTGACCTTTTGTTAGTTCAGATGGTAGTAAGTATATCTTTGTGGCGGTTGACTACGTTTCTAAATGGGTAGAGGCTATGACTTTACCCAACAACAAAGGGAGAAATGTTGTGCATTTCTTGATGCGGTACATTTTCACACGGTACAGCACTCCATGTGCAATTATTAGCGATGGAGGATCTCATTTTTTAACTGTTTGTTTGCATCTTTGTTAAGAAAATATGGAGTTAAGAATAAAGTTGCAACCCCTTATCATCAACAGACAAGTGGGAAGGTTGAAGTGTCGAATCGGGAAATTAAGGAGATTCTAGCAAAAATAGTCAATGCAAATCACACTAACTAGTCTCAAAAGTTAAATGATGCTCTTTGGGAAAACCGCACCGCATGGAAGACCCCGATTGTCATGTCACCATACCAGTTAGGGTTTGGAAAGTCTTGTCACCTACTAATTGAGCTTGAACAT